TAAACGGTAAAATAACACACAGCGTTTACAGAAAGCAAACGCACACTGATGCCTATCTGAATGCAGAATCACATCATCATCCAGCTCAAAAATCCTCTCTTATCAAGACGCTCGTACATCGGGCGAAAACAGTGTCAGATGGTGAGAGTCTAGTGAGAGAGATTAAACACGTTAAAGACGCACTACGACAGAATGGCTACAATAATGCTCAAATTAACAGAGCACTGAATGCCAAATCACGATCGCAAAGCAATACTACTGAAAGCGACCAGATTGTTAAAACAATAAAAATTCCATATATCTCAGGAGTAACTGACAAATTAGCCCGCGTTTTGCAAAAGCAAAACATTACAGTAAGATTTGGTACAGTACACAAAATTCAAAAACTAGTATCTTGCACTAAAGACGCATTACCTAAACTATCAACAGAAGGTGTATATCGGATTAATTGTTCATGTGGCAGCTGCTACATTGGGCAGACGGGACGTAACATCAGCGTAAGACTAAAAGAACATCAGAGAAATATTAAATTATCTCAAACACAACTGTCGGCAGTGGCAGAACATGCTTGTCAACAAGGACACTCAATTGATTTTGACAATGTTGCAGTGGTGTGTAAAACTAATTATTACTGGCAAAGACTAATTAGAGAATCCATTGAAATTGAGAGGAACAAGAATAACTTTAATCGCTCTGACAGCTACCGGCTTAGTGCGGCCTGGAAGCGTATTATTAAATAATACACATTACATTTTGATTTAAAGAATTACTAATCTACAACTCATTACTAATCATAACCAATGACTGATTACTAATCGATTATATAATTACATTACCCCCCCCTCCGCCTCTAATCACTGCACCTGATGAGTTAAGTGATGACGTCACTCTTCTGCTCTATATAAAACCGGGAGCAAGCGAGGGCTTTACCATTCTGGCGAATTGCCCGATGATGCTGGAAGTATTTACCAGCGAAACGTCGTACTCAAACTGTAAATGTGGATTAACTCTTCAACACACCGGTGGGCTGAAGTAGTGAATTATTTGTCTTTTGTCAACGTGACACTTTTCTTTGCTGATTGGCCGTGTCGGGTGGTGGAGGGTTACGACACATTTATAAATAAACGCGATCTAACCCAAAAACCTTTATTATGAATAATATTGGTCGCGAAAGCCTACGTGTTAAACTAAACACAATGACATCATCTAAATAGACCAAACATATCTCCCATTGTAGACCCGACAGTACTAGCTCCATGAGGCATTGGAAGGTTTCCGGTGCAATGAGCAATCCCATCGGGAGGCTATTACATTGAAACAACCCCTGCGGTGTCCAAAATTAATCATGAGGAGCTGCCAAAATCCTGATGATAGATCCAACGTAGTAAAATATTTTGCTCCCGCCAATGCATCCAATGAGTCCTCAATACGTGGTAGGGGATATGCGTCCGCTATCGTAACTTTATATAGTCACCGAAAATCAACGCAACACCTCATAGAGCCATGTGTTTTTTTAAACTACTACTAGTGATGCTTTGCAGGGGCTAGTCGATGGAGAAATAATCTCTGATCTTAACCTCTCTTCTGTAGCTCGACGGATCTGCTCCCTTTCTGCCGGTCCTACTCTATATGAGTTTTGCCTCACGGGCTGAGCACTCCACGGTTTCAATGAAAGTATCAAAATCGTGAAGGAGACTTTGAAGGTGGTCTCTTTGACCTTGAGTCAATTCAGGGTTCCGCTGAACGATTTCTTCCGCCCAGGGCGACCCTACCTCATCCTTCACTTCTTGTATCCCTGCAACTATTTCATCCTCCTGTAATTCACTTGCTGGGGAAATCTGGGCTATTACTATCCCTTCTCGTATTGCAATTGCCTGCTCTAATATGTTGAAAACTTGTATACACAACCGTTGGTTCTGTCTAAAATGGTGTCCGCCACCGCTAATGAATGCCGACTAAACGTTGGTCCCAGTGGTGACACTATAATTGGCGCATCCACGCGTGAGGTGATTAATGGCAAGTGATATTGCAAAGGGACCAACACCTATGCAAGTAGCGGAATCATCATCGACTCTCCCATCAGGGCATGTACTCTGGCGGCCTTCCCTGTTTCAGTGTCAGGCCGCAAAAAATAAATCCGTCTCCCCAATGGCATCTCTATACAGCCCTGGTCAATTTGTATTTTAATTGGTAGCCGACTTAAATAAATAAATTCCCAATAAGCATACCGGGCCCGATACACATTTCTCCTATGCGGATTTCCATCTTTACTTTACTGACAATTCCCAAGCTACCACCATTTGCTACAACAAATTTACTATATACTGTTCGTATCAAACACGAGCGCGAAAATAATGGTGACTGATGCTCCTGTGTCCACCAACACTCTTAAGGAATTTCCCCCTATCGCTTCTTATTAACCAATGTCCCCATGGCCGCTGCTACAACTCATCTCGGAAGTTTATTCCATTTTGATATAGAAGTTGGCCAAATTTTCCCTGCTTGTGTCATCCTGGGTTGGCACGATCGAGTGGTGTGCAGGTGTAGTGCAGGACTTCGGAAACGATAATTGTGGAGGCACCTTCTTTTATTACACACATGATCTCGACTACACACACTCAGTACTCGCTAGCCTTAACACAACACGAGCCGTCAAGCATCGACAGCACTAAGTAAGATAGCTGACAGGCGAGAGCGATGACAGCGACGACGAGATGATTCGATTCCCACGAACGGCCTCGAGCTACGGCTCTCGGCTCCTTTTATTCTAGCAGTGTGGTCTCGCTCCGCCCTGACCACGCCTTCCTTCTTGAACCCACTAGCAGGTTTCAGGGGCTTCCCGATGGACCCCTCCATGACCCTTGCCCCAGTTCTTCCATTCTGCCGACACACCCGTGTATACTGTCGCTCACTGGCGTGTGTACTGTTTGTACACTGCAGTTGCCGCTTTTGGTCACCAGCCAACCTGGCTGACATACATTAATAAGGTGGCTAGCGCAGAGCAACCACAGCAGAATCGACAACGTGGTAACCAACACACCGCGAGGATGAGGGAAAAAAAAATCCCGTCGACCGACGAACACCGTCGCGACTCTCCATCGAACAGACGAGCAGCAGGAGGTCCCACTGAGCACAACTCAGCGCGTGGCGCACCAAAACCGTCAGGCGACAACAACATCATGTGACCCCTCCAGGCGCATATTACCCCCACAATCAATTCTGAATTTAATGCCCAGCACGGGGGGAAAACCCGTTTTCCAGAACGTAGAACACTTGGACTGGAACCTCGACGCCGGTCCCCCACCTTGGGTGGGGTCTTGCATTTCTTGGGGCTCTGGGGACTTGCACAAATGGGCAAAAGGGCGCAGCCCCTCCCTGGACTCAACAGAAGAGTTCGACCGGGCTCCAACCTTCGGTTCTGCGCACGAGGTGGCTTCGGGATAATTTCTGGGCTGCAGAGGCTCGGATCCTGTGGGTGGCACAACGCAATCTTTCTGAAGCACAGCTTCCGGGACCGGCTGCCCCGGCTCATCGGACACATCAGACACCAGCCGTATGGGACTTGCAGATGAGCTGTCTATTTGGAGATGAACATATGGCTTCAGACGCGACGGGTGTACAAACCAACGGCGATCCCCTGCCTGTATCTGTCTAAAATGGTGTCCGCCACTACTTCAACGGGGCCTTGCCATTGCCAATGTAATTTGGGAGACGTACCCAGTGGTACCTGTGGGCAATGCAACCAAGCCCTGTCCCCGATATTCCATGGAAGCACGTACGCATGCTGCCCCGCGCTCTTCTTGTTTGCAGCCTGCTTTTTATCAGAATTTATCCTAGTTGCTTCACGCGCTTTAAACAATCGTGCAAGCATGACCTGCATGGGCGCAGGCATGGCGGCCTTATTTTTCCCTGAAACCATGCCCAATTGAGCTTCCATGGGGGGTTTGTTCTCTCGCCTGTACATCAGATAGAATGGGGAAAATCCCGTCGAGGCGTATGGGGCCATCCTGTATGCTGTTAAGACCCCTGGGACGCGCAAATTCCAGTCCGTTTGCGCCTCATTAACCACCTGAGCAGGTGGCCGGATGAGAAATAGAACAGTGGCCGGATGTTTAGACATCCGGAATGGAGAGCACTGTCCAATTAAGGGCGGGGAGAGAGAATACAAAGGAGAGTGAGGCCACAAGTCGGGCGTGCTTGCCTGCGATGGAGTCTAAACAGTCAGTGACAACAACGGGGCTGACTGGAACCATCTACAGCCACGAAAATAAAGATTTAGCATCCTCCTGATGAACGTCTCCAAAAAGCTTCTTTGCACATACACAACCACATACACAACCACATGATGCACCCCCACATACTTATATTGTTGGGAAATACGCATGTGAACAAAACGAACCCGGCGGCCCAAACCGATCCTGGGCCTCACCTAGATCAACTCATCCTCAGATACCTGGTGCGGTGTTTAAACATTGTGACTAGGGAGACAAAGGCGGCCGGGTGTGATGCGGGCCACCCATCTCCTCTTGTGCCATGCCAGTCAAATCTGTGAAGGCTATATGGGGGGATCTTTATCTTTTGTTTGCAGGTGTGCGTGTGTGTGTGTGCGACTCACAATTCATCCACTCCACTGCAATTTGATGACTCGTAATGATTCATGGTTGGGATTTAAGAATCACTTATTCTGTCTTGTTCTATTCACCTCATGGTATCATTCTCTTCATAATTTACATACATTTCTGTAATCAAGTCAATTCATGCATCGCAATTATCCATATAACAAAGCGATTAATTTATACGCACCCAACTAGTGTGTGCACTTGTGCGGTTCTGTTCGTGAAATATTTAGATTTCTCATGGGAGTTATTTTTGGCCCGATTTTTATTTGCTTATATTTTGGTGACCCAGGTGACTCTTTCAATGACACTCATCCTGGCCTCCCGGGCTCCTCTCCTGGTTACACAAAGCATACTTGACCCACAACATGCTTTGTCTTTCAGGGGGCGGGAGGAATTTTCCATGGACAACATGCAAAGTGTGGCTGGAGTGCGAAAGAGGAGCCCCAGTAACCCTGGAGTACAACAAGCTCGGCTCCCGCATCTCCACGGGCAGCGCCACCTCCACCTCCCAGGAAGTGCGCCAGAGTCATGGCACTGTGGCCACCCGGGGACGTCCACGCGGGAGACGGTCTGCGGGCCCCACCGCTACCGGCACCAGAAAGATCCCCGCTCGTGGTGCCATGTCCACACAGCCTCCGAAGACGCCGCATGACGCCAGTGGCGCCGATCACTTGCGCCCCTCAGCCCCCCCAGTCGCTCACCTGCCCGGGCCCGTGGCTCCTCGGCGGGACGGCTCGACACATGCCCCGGCAAGGCTGGGGAGTGAACGCCGCGCTGGGGACGATTGCTGGGCGCGTCCTTCCGTCGTGCTGCCAACGGGCGCCGCTTTTCCCACAGCGTCCCCAGCGTCTCCGGATCCACGGCGCGGGGAGAATGCAGCGAGGCGCGCATGGTGGATGGAGGGAAAACGTGCATGTGCCCGGCACAACATTTTCTCGTTCCCGATGGTGAGCATCAAGTGCCTTGATGCCTCCGCAGCATGGCGCGGAGGGAGTGGCGCTGCTCTTGCCTGGCCACCGGCAGAACCGGCCACGGGCCCACAGCCTCCACGCAAGAGGCAGGGCCAGCACTCCCCTTCCAGGCAGTTCAAGAAAGGAAAATTAGAATGATTGTCAGGGATCGTGCATTGGTGTAGTTGTTTCTGCCATGGTGACTTGCCATTGCCAGGGTGGTTGTAGTCTGTGCACGATGCACTGACACATGACGGTATTCCGATTGCACAGTGAAAAGTACGCAATGCTAGAGGGTTAGAGGTCACCGGATTCAAAGCTTTAAAGCACAACGCCCCACAAGACTCACGTGACTTGCACGTTCCCGCACAGTACACCCAGCATCGATGCACATTGTGCTCGCTGTGCGCTCCGCACGTTCTCCTTGCGCCTTCTGGAAAAAAAGTGTTAGCTCGTAGGCCACCCCTCGGTGATGCACATTGCTGTGTTGGTATACAAAGCACGAAGGGCTTGGCACGAGGGTCAGCATTCTGGTTCGTGCCAACTGAACAGGGCAATATACACTTGCAGCTACACTGGGGAGGCAGCCAGTGGGGTTTGTCAAAACTGTCACCATTGTGTTCTGAAGCACTGAAGTTATTTGCTGTGTTATTTGTTGTGTTGCAGTAGCGTTGCTTTATATGTGTATTGTACAAAGAATGGGACTTTGGACCAGATGCAATGTGCTCAAATTCTGTAGACTCTGTGACACTGTGACTTATGAATCAATGCCCAAACCATAACTGGTGTGGAATTAGGTATTATTCGCCTTCATGGTGATTCATTACAGCGTGAAGTCTGTTGTAATATGAAAGGTGCACAGTTACCGCTTTTGAAATAACTTGTGAATATTTGAGTAAGTATTTAAAAAAGTATTTAATCAGTGCTTTTTTTGGCTGAAGTCTGCCTGCCATGCGGACGTGTGGGAGGGTGCACCGGACATTATCCGCGGTGAGAAATCGCCTGCTTGCCCACTCAACGTTTTTCTACTTATCCATGCTGGCCACCTGGCCCATAGTAACCTCACTACCACCATTGGTAAAAGTGTTCCACAGACCGGGCAGCTTTATATTCACCTAAAAGACAAATGGAGCTCTGCTCAGGTGAATAAGTTGCTCTAATGTTGATGCCCTTGCAGTGTTGGTGAAATGCACCGGAGCGCTCTCACCGGCAGTCTACCAGTAGCTTCCATATCACAACCCGATGTTTACATTCTGTGCAATTGCATTGGTTTTTTTATAAATTGTTTCAGTCTTTCACAATTAAAACACGCACTGATTAAACAAAACTTCACATTTTTGCAGATATTCACTACCTCTTTCATTGTGTTTTATATATTTTAATAAAGACATCTCACTGGTACAGATAAGTTTTATTGCTGTTGTTTGAACACCGTGCAGCTGTTGTCTGTGTGCCTTGTCCAGATATTAATATTGTGATGTTATTTGGTTCTTTCGGTAAAGTCACGTACATAGAAAAATAATAATGAAGTGAATGAAACTGAAAAAAATAATTTAAAAACCACGACTTTTCGATTGAAACAAGCGGTCATCATCAGGAAAAGAGGGGGTTAGCCTCTTAAGGCAAACTGTTTCTAAAGGTTTAAAATGGGTGTAGCCCAAGTGTCAGCAGCATGGACGGGACAGCTAATGTTATTGTAAGTAATGGGCAACGGCAGCATTGGTGGTGGGTTTAACACCAATTCAAGGGCTGCCAGGTATAGGCTTAAGTGCTTAACATGGGCGTAGCTCAGTTGTAGCAGCATCGGCGGGGCAGCTAATGTTAATTGTGTTGACGGTGGAGGTTGCTGCTAGAGGTGGTGGTAGTAGTGGGTAATGATGGTACACGTGGTGGGCTTCCACCAATAAAGGGCTACTGCTAGTGATGATGGAAGTAGTGGGCAGCAATGGTCCTGGTGGTGGGCTTCCACTAATTAAAGGGCTGCCAGGTCTAAAATGCAAATATAATAGCCAGTTATGACTTTAACTGGTTGCTAACGTCCTTCCAAGGATTGCTGAGTTTGTATCCATCTTAATAAATAATTAATAAATAATTAAAGCTTTACATTTCGATTTAAAGCTTTCGTGACTGCAAGGATTCATCTTCTTTGGTTCTTTCGGTAAAGTCACGTAGAATGAGAATAAAATAATAAATTGATAAAATAAAATAACACAATAAAATTATCACGACGTTTCGGCCACAACGCAAGCGGCCTTCATCAGGTGAAGGGACGAGACTGTCTGGAGGACCGCGCTGGAGCGAACAAAGCCACGCTCAGATCGCGACCTTTAAGCTGTGTGAGAAGAAACAAAGCGCCTTGACAAAGGAATTAGCATAGAATTTAGCATTTAAATAGCTGAGTGATTAGCTTGTGACTGGTCACAGAAATGGCTATGTTAAAGTTAAAGCATACACATTCACAGAGGCACCTAGTACAAATCAAACAGGATAATTTAGCATTGAAATAACTAAGCGAATTTAGCATTGAAATAACTGAGTGATTAGCTTGTGACTGGTCACAGAAATGGCTATGTTGAAGTCAAAGCCTACACATCTGAGCTATTCACAGTAACTGGGTATACACTACACTATATAATGAATACTATATAGTGAATCAATAAAAAAACTAAAATATAAATTACCTCAATGTTATCAATAAACTCTATATATACTCCAATCAGCTAAGCTACCAACAATAAGTCGTTATTTATCACAATGTTATATGGCGAAAAAATGGGTGGATTCTTACCCTCAACTTTAGCACCACGGATAGCTACGGGCCCCGTTCAGACGGACGAGTTCATCCATGGTCGGAACGGAGGAGGGGGAGAGAGACAGCTGCGAGGCGCTGTTTATTGATAACATTGAGGTAATTTTTATTTTAGTTTTTTATTGGTTCGCTATATAGTATTCATTATATAATGTAGTGTATACCCAATTACTGTGAATAGCTCAGATGTGTAGGCTTTGACTTCAACATAGCCATTTCTGTGACCAGTCACAAGCTAATCACTCAGTTATTTCAATGCTAAATTCTCCTAGTTATTTCAATGCTAAATTCTCCTGTTTGATTTGTACTAGGTGCCTCTGTGAATGTGTATGCTCTGACTTTAACATAGCTATTTCTGTGACCAATCACAAGCTAATCACTCAGCTATTTCAATGCTAAATTCTATGCTAATTCCTTTGTCAAGGGGTGCCTCTGTGGATGTGTATGCTTTAACTTTAACATAGCCATTTCTGTGACCAGTCACAAGCTAATCACTCAGCTATTTCAATGCTAAATTCTATGCTAATTCCTTTGTCAAGGCGCTTTGTTTCTTCTCACACAGCTTAAAGGTCGCGATCTGAGCGTGGCTTTGTTCGCTCCAGCGCGGTCCTCCAGACAGTCTCGTCCCTTCACCTGATGAAGGCCGCTTGTGTTATTGTGTTATTTTATTTTATAAATTTATTATTTTATTCTCATTCTACGTGACTTTACCGAAAGAACCAAAGAAAATTAAAGTTTTCGTGACTGCATAAAATTACTCATTGTTTTTTTCGGTAAAGTCACGTATGTAAAAATAAAAAAATAAGATTAAAATAAATCAATCACGACGTTTCGACCGCAACACAAGCGATCTTCATCAGGTGCAAAAAAAAAATCGACACCAACGCAACACATAGAGAGCGCCAAACTGCACGGAGGTAAATACAACAAGAAGATGAGAGACGAGAATTCAACAAACCTAAGAAAAAATGTACGTCATGCACAACCAGTCAGGCCAACAACACAGTTAGATACTTACCTGGCGGACCACGAATTTCAGAAGAGTGCTAAATTTCGTGTTCACCTCTGGGTTGGACATACCAGCATAGACAGAGTGAACAAATACGAGGTACGAGTCAGCAGAAATACATATACAGGGACACCAAGAGGCAAGGAAAGATGGACAGAGACGCAAGGAAAAAGAAAAAAGGGCCGGAGGGATGAACAGACAGAGGCCTTAAATACGAAGTGGAGGTGGGGAGGAGTAATTGTACCCATCTTCTCGGTTGAAATTGTGTATGTCTGTAAATATAGATGGCTTCATGAACGAATCTTTGTTCATAGCCAGTGGGTTTGCACAGTACCTTCGTCTTAGAGAAATCAATTTCGTGTGAGCCAGCCACATTAAAACAATGATCAGCAACGGCAGAAGTATGCCAGCGTGAAGTCTGTTGTAATATGGAAGGTGCACAGTTACCGCTTTCGAAATAACTTGTGAATATTTGAGCAAGTATTTAAGAAAGTATTTCATCAGTGCTTTTTTTGGCTGAAGTCTGCCTGCCATGCGGACGTGTGGGAGGGTGCACCGGACAATATCCGCGGTGAGAAATCGTTTGCTTGCCCAATCAATGTAAGATTGCAGAGCAGGGGTAACCAAAAAGATTGCCACAATCATGAACAAACACAAGATCCAGGTCCAATTTAACACAGTACATAAAATTCGTGATTTGATCACAGCTGTGAAGGACAAGATCCCTGTCATGCAATATCCCGGCGTCTACAAACTAAGCTGTATCTGCGGCAGCAGTTACATTGGGGAAACGAAGCGACATGTCTCGGACTGTGTTCGTGAACATAAGGCAGATTTGAAACACGGTAGGACCAATACTTCTGCCGCAGGAATATCTGCGCTTTTTCATCATTAGACCTCCTTTGCCAGTACCAAAATATAATATGTTTTTCCCCTTTTTTCTGGTTCATCAAGTACTGCATAATGATGTACCCCCCCTGGTGAGACATTGCTTAACCAACACATACTTCACCTGGAATGGAACTTTCTACAAACAAACTGAGGGCACCCCAATGGGCTCCCCCCTATCTCCGGTTGTAGCCAACGTATTCATGGAAAAATTGGAAACTGACGCCATCCAGACTGCCACTCTACGCCCGACCTTATGGAAGAGGTACGTGGATGACACCTTTGTCATCTGGCCACATGGCCAGCCTGCTCTAGACCAATTCCGCGACCGCATCAATTCCATACACCCAGCCATCAGATTTACCATGGAGGTCGAAAAAGATGGCAAACTACCCTTTTTGGATGTCTTAATTAAAAGGAGACATGATGGTTCAATGAGCCACTCTGTCTACAGGAAAGCTACCCATACAGATGCTTACTTGAAACCGGATTCCCACCACCATCCATCCCAGAAGAACTCCCTCATCAAGACTCTATACCATAGAGCCCAATGCATTTACGACCAGGAACACATTACCAGTGAACTCAAGCACGTACACCAGGCTCTCAGGGCTAATGGTTACTCCGACTACACAATCCGCAAAGCCATCACTCCAGTCATGAAGAAGGATCCTCTTGTGGAGCCACTCAAAACCATCACCTTACCCTACATTGCAGGGGTCACTAAAAAGATCTCCAGGTCCGATTCAACACAGTACATAAAATCCGTGATCTAGTTCCATCTGTAAAAGATGCTGTTCCAGACATACAGTACCCGGGCGTTTACAAACTAAAGTGCCTCTGTGGTAGAGATTCGTTCATGAGGCCATTCACATATACAAGCACAGAGACAATTTCAACCGAGAAGATGGATTCTGGCTTAGTAACCATTGGAAAGATGTTTTAAACCATTTCCGTTCTTAATTAATTGTATTTTACGATGACCTTCAGACCGCAGCTCTTTCGCTGGCATTGACTCTTAATACCTCTCACACCACGGTTAATGGTATGGTTTACAACATGGAGTATAACAGCGCCTCGGAGCTGTCTCTCTCCCCCTCCTCTGTTCCGAGTTATTTCAATGTTAAATTCTCCTAGTTATTTCAATGCTAAATTCTCCTGTTTGATTTGTACTAGGTGCCTCTGTGAATGTGTATGCTCTGACTTTAACATAGCTATTTCTGTGACCAGTCACAAGCTAATCACTCAGCTATTTCAATGCTAAATGCTATGCTAATTCCTTTGTCAAGGGGTGTCTCTGTGGATGTGTATGCTTTAACTTTAACATAGCCATTTCTGTGACCAGTCACAAGCTAATCACTCAGCTATTTCAATGCAAAATTCTATGCTAATTCCTTTGTCAAGGCGCTTTGTTTCTTCTCACACAGCTTAACGGTCGCGATCCTCCAGACAGTCTCGTCCCTTCACCTGATGAAGGCCGCTTGTGTTGTGGCCGAAACGTCGTGAGAATTTTATCGTGTTATTTTATCAATTTCTTATTTTATTCTCATTCTACGTGACTTCACCGAAAGAACCAAAGAAGAAAACTGAAACCTTTTTACAAGGATTCATGTCTGCATTAACCACAATACCTGCAGGATTCATGTCTGCATTAACCACAATACCTGCAGGTATTGTGGT